CTTAGTATTTGCAGCTTGCAGGGTGATCAGGGGCTACCGCATACAGCATCCAACATCCTCTATCTCTTTACCGACTAGTGTAAACCAAATGATTTCCTCACGCCCGCTGTGAAGGTTTGCGGAACGGTTCCAGGTCTTTAGTGGATTCTGACGCAGTAGGCCTACCCACCCGCATTCTCTGGCTGTGGTCAGTCCGATGGGTGGTTGGGCGTTGGTTAAGTTGGTAGGCGGTGTGTGGCCTCCCCAAGGACTCTGGTGCAGATAGGTTCCTCAGGGGTAGTGCTGCCAGACAGTTGGCCAGACTGGCTGCAAAAAGAGGGTAGAAAATATGTCCAGAGAAATCGAGGGAGAGAAAATGCAAAGAAAAAGAGAAAAAGAAGACGATGTGGTGAAAGGAAACCGAACGGAAGAAGAAACTTCGGTAGATGCCCGGAAGAGGAGTGGTAGAGAGGGCTTTTATCAGATGCTGCAAGGACATGAAGTCAGTAGGAAGGGAAGGAGCAAACACAGTTATAGGATGGCTTACTGGAATGGACATAATAATACTCTTGGCGCGGGGTGGTAACTGGGGCCGTCCACAGGGAATTATAAGTTTGAGCCAGGTTGACGATGGTGGTTGCGGAACAAAATATTCAGCAATCGGTTGGCCTTGCTGAGTTGTGCGGAATTAGCAAGCTACACCAATCTAGTCCATATCCCAGCTGGGTGAGCGCAAACTGTGCATCGCTGAGTAACTGTCCAGCCTCTTCTTGAAGCCACCAACAGAACGAGCAGTAGCAGTCCAGGCAGGCGGTGAGTTCTGGTGGCTCCAAACTCACAGAAGTGTGAAAGCGCACGGGTTTTCGCCCTTTGGTGGGCGATGCTCCTTGAGTTACCACAAGGATCGCTGGTCTATAGGATTCCACGTTCCAAAGGCTGGGGTTAATTGGCGTTTTACAGGCAGTTACCGAGTCACCTTGTAATCTACGGTAGCCGAGAGAGTAGTCCTGGGTATTGCAGCCTGCCCTTACAGGGTTTATGCCTCATTCCCACGACACCCTTTGTTGTCCCCCTCTGGAGTTTCTCCAGGAGGTTCACACCCCCTTTCAGGTACGGTGGCGCAATGACGTTGTGGGCCTCTAAGCGAGGTCGTGTGTGGGTCTTGTACAGCTTCAGGAAGAGATCTGGAGTGAGGGCACCTGGTCGTCTGTGTATGAAGTGCAGTATGGGTAGGCTGTATACAAATAAATAGATAAATATTTCATTCTGGAGGCATCTCCCGGATAATTGGAGCTAGTGCCTGGCTTGTCAGTCAGTATTGGTCCTAGGTCTTTCTCCATGGTGGTGCGGGTAAGTTGTGCTCCACGGGGAGATCAGGGTACTTTCTGAGAGTCATGGGTATGGAGAAAAGTGGTCTGGCACTTATCCAGTTCAAATGCTAGTCAATTATTATCCATCCACCCTGCAAGCAATCTGGGATCACTTTGCGGTGCATTTGGTTCCCCTTTGGATGTCACAGCTCACCATAGCTTAACATCGTCAGCATAAAGCAGAACTTGGAAGCTGAGATTCAATGGAACGTCGCTCACGAAAAGAAAGAATAGCAGCGGACCGTTTGCTGAAGATAATAGGGGTTTTTGTGACTCCCATCCGTGTGGGCGCTCTAACAGGAGTGGCAAGAGAGTGGATAGAGGTGTGAAGGAATTGCCCAAAAAAGCGTAGATAGTGTGGGTCTAGTCTCTTCAGAAGAGTTCGCAGATAATGTGGGTATATCAACAACAGAAATGGTGGGTGGCAAGGAGGAGGGGAGCAAAGATGAGCTGGCGAAGTCAGTAATTCCTTGAGAAAGTCTGCAGCAGATGATGTAACTGCGTAGTAGTTTTCTGAGTTAGTCAGCAGTGGCAGTGTGACTAATTTTCACGTTGAGGGACTCCACGGAGTACATATCTTTAGGGAGAAGAAGATAGATTTGAGCCTGGTGTTAGCTTTCTGATGTGCTATCTTTGTGAGGTATCCCGTGGTGATCGCCATGTAGCAGGCAAAGCCAGTATGCTCGCGTGATTTACCTGGTAGATGATCCAGCTGGCCATAATAAGGTCACCCCCTGTCTCTGCGATAGCCAGAGCGACTAGGTTTACATGTTTCAGGCTTTCACATAATACCATTCTGCTAATTCCTACGACCGGTTTTGTTGCAGATCTTCATATTTTACCGGGTATATTCTAGTCTCTCCTGAGTGTTCGAAGTATTACATTGAAGGCTTCCAGGTGAAGGCATACGGATGACTTGAATACTGTTATAAACAGTTCGAAGGTGACAGCACCAAACCGTCCATACAAAAAGCGAAAAAATGGCGTTCGCTCCTGACGCCATTTCCTGGCAATTAGAGCCGGTGTTCAGAGTCTCCAAGAAGCTGTGTAGCGGCCAGAATCCAATAATCTTGGCCTGAACGCGGGAAATAGCTAGGCGGTGCCAACTGACGTGAATCTGACTAGTTCCTGCGTTCTACTGTATAGCTTCCTAACTTCCGCGAGTGACGCACAGTCAAAGGTTGGATCGAAATATCAAAACACGGTTTGTAGTAATTCAATAGTAGATTCGTAACAAAATCTGTGTTACTATCAAAGCAACAATAAGTTATGTCAAATTACAAAAATACCTCAACAGTGCCGTTGGGTAACTATACAGTCCAAAACGTTCTCGGGTACAAATACGTACTACACGGTAAAAACTGGTTAAAAAATACAACTGTTAAATACCTGTCGGTCAATAGGAATATTCCCGGCAAAAGGGATCAAAACTCTGCCTACAGGAATCAAATCAACAAACAAACGTTCCCAGTAGACAGTCAAAAGACAAACAGTCAAATCACTGCACAACTGTAAGTTGAACCGAAACAAAATGTCGTGCGCAGTAAAACAACATCACCTTATCAACAGTCCAGCGTCACATAATAGGAAAGTGAAACACTCATAATAAGTCTCAAACATACAAAGGCAAATACCGAGTGTAAGGTCGAATAAGACAGTTAAACAAGCAAATAACATTACACCGGCGAGGGTCAAAGGTACACCATCCACAACGAGGGTAAAAATGTTAAAATAAATGTCAATACAATCAAATAAGGGTGATTGGGAGGGATTTTCAGATCATTTTTCCTTTACAAGCTGAGCCCCAAATCTTTTCCTTGGATACTTTGGCAATACCACGGTTGGCCAGCTTGTATTGTAATTCTACCGTTCTTGGCTCACATCATGGGTCGACTTTAGGAGGACAGTTGCAACAACCGCTTCCCGGGGAAAGTCGAATTCCTGTCCCTCTGAACCCTCTTGCTGTAGTTCAACGAAGAGCATGTTTTTCTGGTACCGCCAGCTCAAACCCTAGTCTACCTGTGAGGGCTACCACTGAGAGACGGAAGAGAGGGAAAAGAAAGTCGTCAACTGAACCTAGTCGGACTGACGGCTGTCATACGTGTGGTCTCACCGTAGCCAAAAGGAGTGCTGCCCTTCAGTGTAGCATCTGCAATAGGTGGGTGCACAGTCAGTGTTAAGAGGACATACCAAACCAACATTGCACCTTCACGGCGTGCAGCTCACGCACTTGGCTCTGGTGCATCTGCCAACAGTGCCGTATGATGCCACTCTTTTCTACAAGTTCACTAAGGGAGGTCGTTAGAGACATCGCAGTGGCTACTGTGATGCCGGCACCGATACAGACCACTACGCCAGGTCCAAGCGACAAAAGTGTCAGCAGCGTTTCCCGGTCAGTCGCACCAGTGAACAGTCCGAAAAGAGCCAAACGGCGACCAGGTACGCCACCAACTACATTAATCCTTAACCCTAAAGCCACTTTAATGGCTAACCCCACTGAACATCGGGAAAAATGGGTGATAGCGGAAAAGAAGGTGTACCCTTCTCATAAAAAACCACTCACAGTACACGAAAACAGAGAAGATGATGATAGACAGAATTCCACCATCCCGTTTCTCATCCCCCTGTGCCGTGATAGCCTTCTTGAGAACAGAGAACCTTTTGACGAACAGCAATGGGAAACGGTATGCACCGTACCAGAACTAGGCAGCTTAGAAGTGAAGCTGTGCCCGCTCCACAAGGGCAACTGCTGCCCCCTGGGAAGGCCTCCGCCGATGAGAGTGACCCTGAGCTCGGCCAAGGAAGCGGGAAGATTCTTGTTGCTGTCACACACACTAGTCATCAACAGATCATCCAGCATTAGAGCAAGACCAGATGGTCCTTGGCCAGCAAGAAAAGCATCTTGCGAGGCGCCCCAAATGCTGAAATTACCAACCTATCTACCTAGCTGTCTGCATACTCTATCTTTCTTCTACTCCCTCAAGAAGACAAAGCTTTCTTATATCTCTTCTCACGGTACCTTCCTTCATACGCACCATCACAGTTCTTACTAAATCGTCTTCGTCTTTCTCGCATGTTTCGATCACTCCCAAAGGCCAGGAACCACGTGGTGTTTTTTCAGAGGCCACAATCACCACATCTCCCTCCTTGAAATTTCTTTTCCTTCCCAACCACTTCTGACGAGTTTGCAAGCATGGTAGATACTCTTTCATCCATCGGCGCCAAAATACGTCAGCTAAATAATTAACTTGTTTCCAACGTTTGACGTAATTATCGGCAATAGTGCCCTCCACGACTATTCCTCCACTATCTCTCAATAACAATAAGCTATTGGGAGTGAGAGCTAACTCGTCTTTTGGGTAGGTCGTCATGGGAACAATAGGACGATTGTTCAAAATTCTTTCTATTTCCACGAAGTAAGTGGCTAATGTATCATCATGCAGAGTCTGCTCTTTGGATATGATCATCAATAACCTGCGTACAGAACGTATCATCCTTTCCCATATCCCAGCTCGATGACTCGCTTGCGGGGGGTTGAAACTCCATCGTATCCCCTTCCTTCCCTGGCGAACCATGAGTGGTCCAAAATAATCAATTCCCACTGATGAGAAGCAAAACCATCCTTTCTGCACGTGACAGACCGGTAAAGGGGCCATCATCTGCTGACCCAGTGCAGCTTTCAATCGTCGGCACTCTATGCACTTTCTTATCACCCGTTTGACCGCACTGATCCCCTTAATTATCCAATAGTTTCTTCGTAGAGTGGCCAGGACTTGCGAAGTACCAGTATGTCCTTCTATAATATGATAATGCCTTATGATCAGCTCAGTCACGAAGTGATGTCTGGGGAGGATAACCGGATGCTTAAAAGTAAGTGGGTAGTCGGAATAGTTCAACCTCCCACCGACGCAGACCAATCCATCCACAAGTATAGGTGACAACCTTTGCAATTCTCCTTCTTCATTCTCACAACTACCCTTTTCTCGGAGTTCCTTTATTAATTCTCCATAACCAGATTCAGAGGCATCGCAAAATAAGTGCAACTCAATCTTACTCATCTCACTCTTATCCTCCTTCTTGATACTTCTGGGTACGGAGATTTGCCCAAGATTCTTCATGAACCTCATCCAATCCATCCATAGGGATAGGTCATTGGAACTCAGGGGTGTATCCCAACCAGCATGAGATTTGCAAAGATTCTGCAATAGCTGCTTGGCCGGAAGACAAACTGGGGCGATGAGGCCTAGTGGGTCAAAAAGAGCTGAGACGGTGGATAGTAGTCCTCTCTTCGTGAAGGGTTTTTCGACGGGTTCAAATCGGAACTTAAAAACATCATGCATGGTGTCCCATTCCAAACCTAGGGCCCTGTGGATTGAGCCTTGACTAACACGTAAGTCGACTGAGTTCTCTGTGTGGCTCAGACCAGGAAGAACTACTCTCACTGCCTCTGAATTAGTCACCCACTTCTTCAATTTAAAGCCACCACGTAACAACAACTCAGTGGACTGTTTTACGAACGTTTTTGCCTCACCTGGGCTTGCAAAGGACACTAGGCAATCATCAACATAAAAGTTATGCTTCACTGCTTCCACCACATAGCTATCATAATCGTTGGCATACGTCTCGGCCATTGCAAAATACGCACAAAACGGTGAGGACACTGCACCGAATGGGTGTGACGTCATTTGATATTCAATAGGTTCCTTCGAGAAATCACCCTGAGGCCACCATAGGAACCGCAGAGCACCTCGGTCAAACTCTGGGACTTTCACCTGCATAAACATTTCTTCCACATCGGACGTCAGGGCAATCGGTTCTTTGCGAAAACGCAATAATATTCCAACCAAGTTCGCTGTCGTGTCTGGTCCCTGATACAGGAAGTCATTTAAAGAAGTTCCGGACAGTTTGGCAGCGCAGTCCAGCACAACTCTTACCTTCCCCGGTTTCTTGGGGTTAAATACGGCATGATGCGGCAAATACCATCGTGGGCGGTAGCTAGGATCAAGCTGGGGCTCAGGAGCTACTGCTGCATATCCCTTTCTGATGGTCTCTTCCATGGCGCTAGTGTAGCTTTCGCGAAGGCTTTCAGAGGATATTAGTCTGGTTTCAAACTCTCCAAACGTCGCCTGGCTACTTCGCATCCACCGTATACTCTCTTGGACTCCATTTTCCAGGGCAAGGGGACAACGAAATGTCCATTATCCCAATAAGTACCTCGCTGCACTATGTTTACAGCGGCTAGGTCATCGAGAGATAACGACTTATCTCCCGAGTACAAATCGCTGAACTCATAATCGTAAATTTTCTTCCATTGATCGACTAATAGATCTGACCGAGACATACAATTCACAACCCTCTCCCTGTGCTCACGAAAGCTTGTCGGACCGAACACGACCCAGCCCAACAATGATCTCACAGCATATGGGCTCTTTCTGCCCCCTAACTTCTGATCTAGAACCCAGTGAGCCTCAGGTACATCGCAACCGATGAGCAGCAATACCTCCCCGTCTTCCACCTCTGTCCAGGGTACGTCAGTCAGATGCGGCCACCTTTTAATACTTTCTCGCATCGACCCTTTAGGTCTCCGTACTGGGAGATCTCTTGCCACAACTGCTCGATCTATAAGTATGCATTCGTTTCCGTCTAGTGAATAAACTTCGAAAGGCTTGCTGACTGAGTCCGCCAATCTACTTCCACTAACAGTTTTGATGATAGTCTTTGTGCCGTCAGTCGACAATCCTAGAAGTTGCAAAACATTTTTCGTGATCAAAGTTGTATCAGAGCCATTGTCCAAGATAGCATAACCGTAAACCTCTTTATTACCGTGCTTTACACGTACCGGGAGTAGGCCCAAACACACGCTTTCTCTGAGAGACTCGGTGCATCCACAACTACCTTTCTCCGGTTGTTCGCCTACGGCGTGGTGGGTCTTCTTGTGTAACAGAGGGTGATGGTATGCTTTACAACCTTCTACACTGCACACCCTGTGAATTTTACATTCTACGGACCTGTGGCCCCTTTTAAGACATGAAAAACAACAACCTGTTTCTTTAGCCTTCGACCATCTCTCATCCACCGGTAACGACAGAAATGTGGTACATTTTGTGACTACATGGTTCCCTCCACAAAATATACATGAAGGTTTCAGGACTCCCCCAACGGGTACTAGCTGCTGCGTGGAACATGCTATTTTACTATCTGGTCGTCGACTGCTTGTTGCCAGCTGTCCAAACCTACTTAGCAAAATGCTCGCACGTGCTGACACAAACTGCGTTAACTCTGCGAAGGTAGGTTCTCGTTCGGTTTCAGTTAGCTTTTCGACAGTCTCCGCCCATTTCATCTGTAACACACGGGGCAATTTCTTTACTATACCTTCTAAAGTTCTCAAGGAGTTAAGGTCCGCAGTATAGTCCATTTGCTCTAGGGCTATAGCGCAGTTTTCCATTTTTATAGCTAACCTCGACATTGCCTCAGCATCGTTTTGTTCTATGTTCGAGCATTCCATCAGATCCTGTAGTAAGGCCCGGCTGACTTCATGAGTCCTTCCAAACAAACGTTGAGTATATCCCGAGCCCTACGATAACCAGCAGATGGTGGTAACATAATGCATTCCTCTATAGCCTCCCTGGCCTTACCTTTACAGTAATGTAACAAGTATAACAGCCTCTGTCCATCATCATCAACCTTAGAGACAACGTAGAGCTCAAACTGCCTCATAAACTTCCAATATTTGGCTGGATGTCCGTCAAAGCTGCTTAATTCTACTTTCGGCAACTCATGGCCAACACTGACACAAGGCAACGTAGCGGCAACCCCTTTGTTTTCTGCGCTGCTCGCCTGGCTAGTCGTTTCACGATCAGAACTGCTATGAGGGTCAATGCCAAGACAAACTGATTTGTGACACTTTATATCATCATCCAAGGAAAAGGTATCACCTAAACCCCCATTCACATCTAAGTTGAGTTCTTTATGCAGACGCAACCTTTCCTGTCTTTGTTTAGCCTTGAATTCACGAAGTTCCAACTCTTGCCTTTCATCCAACTGTCGTACCTTCAACTGAGCAGAGGTCCTACAAGGACTAGTCTTACTATAGTCAATAACTGTACCATTATCAGAGCCACGGCATGAAATAACATCAAGAGGGACTTGCTTGGTATCTGAGGTCGGATCCATGGACATGTCACCTTCCCCGTCCGGAATTGACTCAAGGAACACCTTGCGATTGCCAGGTACAGCAGTGACGGGTTGTTGAGTACTGTAGCGGCCAGAATCCAATAATCTTGGCCTGAACGCGGGAAATAGCTAGGCGGTGCCAACTGACGTGAATCTGACTAGTTCCTGCGTTCTACTGTATAGCTTCCTAACTTCCGCGAGTGACGCACAGTCAAAGGTTGGATCGAAATATCAAAACACGGTTTGTAGTAATTCAATAGTAGATTCGTAACAAAATCTGTGGTACTATCAAAGCAACAATAAGTTATGTCAAATTACAAAAATACCTCAACAGTGCCGTTGGGTAACTATACAGTCCAAAACGTTCTCGGGTACAAATACGTACTACACGGTAAAAACTGGTTAAAAAATACAACTGTTAAATACCTGTCGGTCAATAGGAATATTCCCGGCAAAAGGGATCAAAACTCTGCCTACAGGAATCAAATCAACAAACAAACGTTCCCAGTAGACAGTCAAAAGACAAACAGTCAAATCACTGCACAACCGTAAGTTGAACCAAAACAAAATGTCGTGCGCAGTAAAACAACATCACCTTATCAACAGTCCAGCGTCACATAATAGGAAAGTGAAACACTCATAATAAGTCTCAAACATACAAAGGCAAATACCGAGTGTAAAGTCAAATAAGACAGTTAAACAAGCAAATAACATTACACCGGCGAGGGTCAAAGGTACACCATCCACAACGAGGGTAAAAATGTTAAAATAAATGTCAATACAATCAAATAAGGGTGATCGGGAGGGATTTTCAGATCATTTTTCCTTTACAAGCTGAGCCCCAAATCTTTTCCTTGGATACTTTGGCAATACCACGGTTGGCCAGCTTGTATTGTAATTCTACCGTTCTTGGCTCACATCATGGGTCGACTTTAGGAGGACAGTTGCAACAACCGCTTCCCGGGGAAAGTCGAATTCCTGTCCCTCTGAACCCTCTTGCTGTAGTTCAACGAAGAGCATGTTTTTCTGGTACCGCCAGCTCAAACCCTAGTCTACCTGTGAGGGCTACCACTGAGAGACGGAAGAGAGGGAAAAGAAAGTCGTCAACTGAACCTAGTCGGACTGACGGCTGTCATACGTGTGGTCTCACCGTAGCCAAAAGGAGTGCTGCCCTTCAGTGTAGCATCTGCAATAGGTGGGTGCACAGTCAGTGTTAAGAGGACATACCAAACCAACATTGCACCTTCACGGCGTGCAGCTCACGCACTTGGCTCTGGTGCATCTGCCAACAGTGCCGTATGATGCCACTCTTTTCTACAAGTTCACTAAGGGAGGTCGTTAGAGACATCGCAGTGGCTACTGTGATGCCGGCACCGATACAGACCACTACGCCAGGTCCAAGCGACAAAAGTGTCAGCAGCGTTTCCCGGTCAGTCGCACCAGTGAACAGTCCGAAAAGAGCCAAACGGCGACCAGGTACGCCACCAACTACATTAATCCTTAACCCTAAAGCCACTTTAATGGCTAACCCACTGAACATCGGGAAAAATGGGTGATAGCGGAAAAGAAGGTGTACCCTTCTCATAAAAAACCACTCACAGTACACGAAAACAGAGAAGATGATGATAGACAGAATTCCACCATCCCGTTTCTCATCCCCCTGTGCCGTGATAGCCTTCTTGAGAACAGAGAACCTTTTGACGAACAGCAATGGGAAACGGTATGCACCGTACCAGAACTAGGCAGCTTAGAAGTGAAGCTGTGCCCGCTCCACAAGGGCAACTGCTGCCCCCTGGGAAGGCCTCCGCCGATGAGAGTGACCCTGAGCTCGGCCAAGGAAGCGGGAAGATTCTTGTTGCTGTCACACACACTAGTCATCAACAGATCATCCAGCATTAGAGCAAGACCAGATGGTCCTTGGCCAGCAAGAAAAGCATCTTGCGAGGCGCCCCAAATGCTGAAATTACCAACCGTGACTGCCCACGGTATGCCGCAACTAACAACCGGCACAGCGGTAGAAAAGTATGCTCACGATGTGCAACAACGACAGTGGTTATCAGAGAGAGTAGGGTTAAATGAGATGGCGGCGGTCTGCAGATTGCCACATCTCTCACATTTAACGGCCATAACATCACCCCGGTCGGTGGCTGTCAACTTCGGCTGTCATGAACTTTCAACGAGAGTACTGCAAACCTGGTACACGGCAGCAGATAACACCAGCGGGAATGTTCGCTGCTGTGAAGGCAGGCCCAGGACACCGCGACAACAGCAAATGGCAGCACCACCCATCGCCGAAGTCACCATCACTGTCAACAGACAAGGTGCACCCAAGAAACTATTATGGGTGAAACCGTGGTCGGGCCGGTTCCACTGGAGCTGGCCCGATTGATCAGCATTGGGAACTAGTCAGAGATATCATCAAGGAGGACGTCTTTGAAAACGTCCCAGTAATCATAGCAATACCGCGGAAGCAAATCTCATGGTTGAAGCGAGGCACTGAACGCCTTTTTGAAGCCAAGAGGAAAGCATGGCACAAGTAGAGGACCTCCAGAAAAGAGTCTGACCGTACGGCGTATATGGCACTAAGAAATCGATGTAATTTTAGGGTGAGGGGAGACAGGAGGTTGTTCCAGAAGAACCCTGCCCAAAAGTTCGAAGCGAACCCGTAAAACCTACATCGGTTTACGGCAAGTAGAAAATCCACCAGCCAGGGGGCTTGCGTTCTGAAAGGCCTAGATGGAGAGGGCCTCTCCAGGCTGAAGATATCCTAAGCCTTTAGTGCCACCTTGGATACGCAGTTGAGTATGTCTCTACAGAACGTAAATTGTCAACTGTTCGACCGAAATTCAGCATCATCAAATGCAGAAGAGTTACATGGAATAAAGGTAACTCCTGCTATGGTCATTGAAAAGCTATCAAAGCTCTGCGCAGGAAAATCACCAAAGTGTGACGACATCTGACCGGTCGTGCTGAAACAATGCGCGGCTATCTTGTGCGATCCGCTGTGTAACTTTTTTCAACGCTCCTTAGACAATCACGTGCCTCCATAAGAGTGCAAGAGTGCTATTCTGTCCCCCATCGTCAAAGGAGGAAACAGGCAGAATCCAAAATCCAACCAACACATAGCCCTCCTAACACTGGTGTCAAAAGCAATGGAGAATCTGGTAGACGACCATGTCAAGGAGCACTTGGTGATGCTCAACATGGGTTCAGAAAGAGTAGGCCCCGTGCCACAAAAATTCTGGCGGCAGTTGATAAGTGGACGGCATGCTGGGACCTCCAAATTCCCGTCCATGTTATTTTCCTGGATTTTGCTAAGGCCTTCGACACAGTCCCACACACCGTTCTTATTCACAAAATAGAAAGTTTTGGCATCAAGAGACAAGAACTTTCATGGTTGCAGGGCTATCTAGACGGTAGACAATTCTGCACGAAAGCCAGTAGTGTTTGCTCGGCTTGGAGGACAATATCATCTGGTGTATCACAAGGGGCGATTCTGGGTCCACTGCTATTCCTTCTTTTTGTGAACGACTTCCCACTGAATCTTAGCTCCCCAATTCTACTCTACGCTGATGATGTTAAATTGTGGGGAGCTGTGATGTCGGAAACGGAATCAAGTGCACCGCAAAGTGACCTCAGATTACTTGCAGAGTGGGTGGATATTAACATTGCATTTAACATAGATAAGTGCCGAGCCATGTTTCTCCGCACCCCAGAATCTCAGAAAGTATCCTACTGTCTCTGAGGAACACAACTCTCCTACACCATCACGGAGAAATACCCAGGACTAATACCAACTGGCAAACCAGATACTAGCTCCAACTATCCAGGAGGTGCCTCCAGAGCCTACGTTGTACTGCACTTCATGCGCAGACAGTTGGGTGCCTTGACCCTAGGACTCTTTTTCAAGCTGTATAAGACCTATACAAGACCCCACCTAGAGGTACACAATTTCATTGCACCACCATATCTGAAAAGAGACGTGAACCTCCAAGAGAAATTCTGGAGGCGAGCTACAAAGAGTGTCGTAGGAATGGGGCGAAAACCATATAGGGACAGGCTGAAAGATCTGGGGCTCTACTCCCTAAGCTACTGTAGATTATGTGGTGACTTGATAACGGCTTACAAAATACTAAATGACCCAAGTCATCCGAACACTGGAACCCTACAGAACGGCCACTATTGCGATCCTCGTGGTAACCCACGGAGAATCGCTCACCAAAGGGCGAAACCCCGTGTGCGATCACACTTCTTCTCTCTGCGAGTTTGCGGCCACTGGAACGCATTGCCTGCGGGGATTGCTACTGCTTCGTCTGTTGACAGCTTCAAAAAGAGGTTGGACAATTACGTAGCAACGCACAGTTTGCGCTCGTCCAACTGGGATGTGGACCGGGCTGACTCAGCCTACTAACTGGGTACGGCCAACCATTACTGAACACTGTAAAATCATCATCACTTGGAACTTGGCCAAACCTTATACCTTCCTATAGACGTCCCCTCCAGTTACCGCCTCCTACTAAGAGAATTACTATATTCCAGTTCTTCTTGCCATGTTGTTTATCCTTCTTCCTTCTGACTTTACTTTCTCGAACTTTAACAAAAGCTCTCCCTATCAACACTTCCCCATAAACCTACCAATGTTTCTTCTTCCCTGCCGCTTCCTTTTTATTAACCTTTTTCTTTTTCTTTCTTCCCTTTCTCCTATTTTGTCTTTCCCTTCACCTTCACTCCCTAGATTTCTCTCCATATATTTTCCATCTCCTTTTTACGACCAGTCCGACCAGTTATCTGTCAGCACAACACCTGAGGAACCCATCTGCACCATAGTCGTGGGAAGAAAAAACAAACAGACAACACTCCCTACAAATTTAACCAACACCCAACCGCCCGTCTGACTATTCAGAGCTACAGCAGTCGAGTGGGTAGACCTACTGCATCGGAATCCACAAAAGACCCGGAACCGTTAGGCAAGACCTAGAAGCGAGCG